GGATGCCAAATAATTATGCCTCAACTCACGCTATTAAGTAAGTGGATGAGTATGAATAAACTAATTTGAGACGTGTTTGTAAATTAGGAATATCATGAGGCAAAATTCAACTTTACTTCAAATGGTTATGTAACAGTTTACTAGTAATCGCCAGTATCTTTTAAAATGCACACCCAACACAAGATAAAATAATCTAATACAATTAAAAACAACCTAATACAAGATAAAAATACAAGATAAACACAATGCAAGATAAAACATAGGACTAGAAAAAAAAATCTACCTTCTAAACGTAGATAATTTTTAAAATATGTTTTTAATTGACATATCCTTGTTATGACAGCATATTGCATAGTTTTCACTTCTGGTCTATATTAGCTTAACATGTGATTACAAATAGTATGAGAGCTTGGAAAATTAATTTACATATTTATAAAATTCTTATCCAAAGGAAGACATTTTATTTATGTTTTTTTTTATCATTTTAAGTGACTTTGGTCAGGATAACGATTGAGCAAAACATCCTTTGAATATTTCCTAATCCTTTGCAGTGAATGCTGTTTGCCGAGCCAAAATGTCTTTCAAGTGGTATCAGATTCCTACTAAGACAATAACTCCAGATGTGAGATTTTCCCATGCAACTCATCCATCATTCTCACAACCTCATGAATTCCCCATTGAGCATGGAATAGAATTTCTGTAATTCAAAATGGCTGGGGGATCAAGCATGTTTCACAGATGCCAGAAACAATTTGTATCTAAAGGTTCAGATAACATTGTGACTTAAATCATTAAGTTTGTCACATTTTTCTGATCCTTTGCTTCAACCTTGCATATCAAGGCCATTAGATAAAGGCTAATTTGGTTTCAGAATAATCAGAATGTAGGTAAAACTATTGTTCCATCCAGGTATATTTTAATGCATAGTCATTGTAGGCACCATTGCAAGGGTCCTCCCACATTCCCCTGATGATGCAGGCAGAGGATAATCTGTTCAGTTCCGACTGCATACATCTCTCCACTTGGTATATAATCACAGTGTGCAAGATTATTTCACATAAAATGGTGTCACATGATATAACCCAGTAATTTTTGTAAAATTAAGAGTGCCATGTGGTCTGGCAAGTTCAAGTAAACATGACTACCATTAACTCAGCCTGTGGCACACACTAGCCATTGCTCATAAATATAAAACTGTGTGTTGTATCACCTCCTGAAAGGGTTCCCCTTCAATAATGTAAAAAGAAGCTCCCCCTAAAGTGATGAGCAAAAAGGCAGGTGATTTTCTAAGCCTGCTGGAGTTTGTGTTGCAAAATGAATTTGTGCTTGTTGGATTTACAACTGTGACGTTATTGTGGGGGGGTTTTATGTTAAAATCAGGGAGAACTTGGCTCCGCACTGGATTGGAGGTCAGTTTTATTTAATTTTAACAGATTATTTTAGCAAAAAACATAGGGGGACCTGAAGATATATACATAATAAGACTATTTGAAAAAATATAAAGGAAATAGGAAACTAACTGGAAAAACCCTGGAAAGATAATGGTTATGGTAAATAAGGGTTTACGGTTGGAGAGAGGGGTAAATGTCAGTGTTAAGTTAAGGGGTGCAGAGGAGTTAAAGTTTAAGATTTTTTTTAGCTTGTGGTATAATGGCAGTTTAGGAATATTGGGTATAGGATTAGAGATCCAATAATTTTATTAAAGGACCAATTTTTCCATGTCTTTTTGGAAAACCGGAATTCCAAAGTGCCTAGATAATGCAATCACCTGCAATGCATTGTCCTATAACCAACTAATGTAGCAAGACAAATTTCCTTTGTAACACTCTAATTGGTAAATGTTTACGTGCTAATCACCAGGCAAGATCTCTACTCGATTTGTTAAATCTTTATGTGATTCTGTGTATGAGCCAATATAATGCTATTTTTGTTTCAAGCACAA